AAGTTCAAACCACAAACGCTATAGAGAAGGCAAATAATATAGCATTCTGTAAAATTGGCTTAGATCAAAAACTGTTTCCACCCAACAGAATTCCAAACTTTTGAACTTAACCAGGAGCAATTTTAATAACGTATTTGGCTGCCATTTTTGTCCCTAGCAACTCTCAGTTGTGCACATTTAGAGAGGTAGGCACGTTACTGAATCTGAATCACTGTACACAAGGAGATGGTGGAAGAATCCCATTTGGGATTTGAACACAGAAACTACCAGTGGACCACATGTCCAGGAAGTTCTAACCATTACTTCTCAGTGCCAAGTCCCATAAGTTCAACAAACGTATATAACAAGATATATTGGGAAATATCTTCAGTGACTTTATTAGTAATAGTATGTTCAGAGTTGGAAAATTAAGTGGAAGCCAAGTCTTCATTGCTATTTCAGTACTTACATTATTTAATGTATTTTGGAGTGTGCATGAAAAAGTTACAAATCCTTTGCAGGTAGTGAGCAAACTATTTATCAAGCTATTGGTACACTTCTTTCTTGCAAGAAAGAGTAAGCTAATCAACTCAAAACTAAAATGTATGCACATTTAAATTAAATTAGTTGAATTGCAAATGGGCTAAAATGATTCATATCAAATATGTGAAAGCTGTTGTTTGTTGGTTTAATTGTACCGATTGTTAGAAGAATTGGACCTTAGCTGGACAGGTGTTAAAAGGGATAGCGGTACTTTGCCAAAGTAATTTGAGGTGTTTCAGTTCAGTGTTTGTAGAAGATTTGCTCTTTATTTTAAACTTCATTTTAAAGGGTGTCGGAAGCCCATTTTTGAAAGTATGGTCGACACATTAAAGACTTGACATTGTTTCTTTCTTAAGTGTTGGTTCTACTTTCTCGACAATCTATCATTGGAAGGCAACTACTGAGATTGTTTTTTTTCTAATCTGCTGCCAAAATAGGAGTACTGGCTGGAAAATCAGTAAACCGTCTGGCAGATAGTCAGACATGCTGTTTTTCTGTGCTGGTGGTCGGTGTCGGATTCTCACAGAGGTTTCTCGCTGTCCGCCAATTTGGCGATAAGCCAGCGAATGGCGGAGTCTTGTTTTGTGTTCAATTTTTAAAGCTTGACTGGGGATCTCCTCACGCTCTTGAAGTCTTGGCGCGAAGCTAAAGTAAAAGTCAGCTTGCCCCCCTCTGTCTTTTAGTATCTGATTTTGCAGTGAATAGTGATTTTTTTTTCTTCTGTTGCGGTTTGTGCCAGTGCGATTTCAGGATTGTTGCCGGTTTATGGCAAACAAATGAAGTCTTGTTCGATCTGCCTGGACATGACGGCGAGGCCTGCACTGAGCAACAAGTTCCATTTTGTAAGGTAACCGAATGGTGAGAGTAAAACAAATACCTTTCTTTCAACTTATTTGGTCAGAGCTCAGTTTTATCACTCAATACACTTGCACGCCAGGACGGAGTAAGCTTTCAGCCTGGTGGAGAACCATGCACGCTTGCTTTTGAGAACGCTAGAACGGTTGAATTGAATTAACTAGATGACGACATAAGGCTGTTTGTGTATTTATTCACGAGTACGTGCATTGTCAACAAGTTGCTGTAACCATTCATGTGACATTCAGACTCTCTGATCTGTCAGATTCTCACAGAGGTTTCTCGCTGTCGGAGAGGCTCAGAGAGGCCATCGTTTTCAAGGCAAGCTGATTAATACATGCCGCCAATAAAGCAGGCTTAAAACAACTTTAAAAACGGCAATTGGAAAAATGGATGAACCCCTCAATCGTGTTTGTGTAGTCTTTCCCTGGTAATATAAATTTGTTGTCATGTCAGATTTAACGTTGGGATGCTGGTCATACAAGATTGTTTAACATCTCTGCTACCGAGACGTCAGTGAGGGTTTTTTTTTGTTTTATCCACTGTTAACTTCAGCCCTGTCCGGTTTTGATCTGGTTCCCGTCTGGATCTTTTCAGGCATCTTGGTGACTCGGCCGATTTTCTCCGATCAGCGTCTCGTCTAGCGCCGTCATACTTTTACTCGGTTAACCAAGCATTTAATTGCTGAAAGCAATTGCTCCGCAGTACGGTGCAAATATCTGCAGTAGAGCTTTGTTCAGGTCTTACACCACTGACCAGGGGCCAGGCAGATAAGGTTGTTAGTAGGCGCACCATTAAAAAGGTACAAATGACTGATTCTGCCCCAGAGAGACGCAGCTTTTTTTCTACAGTCGTAAGTGATGGCTTTGTTATTGATGTCTATGGAAATGTAAATTGGGTAATCCTAATTGGTAGGTAAAAACGGCTTTTACAGAAACTGAGGGGACATAAGTGATGCAGTATGTTTACACAGTAGCGGATTAAATTAATGCATCACTATAATAAGATCTGCATCTCCAGCTAGAGTGGGCCGGCATGATGCATCCATCAAGGATTCCTGAAATGTTAAAGAGCACACCCACATCTTTAGGATAAGGGCTAGGTAAGTTCATGCCCACCTCAAAGTGGTTTTCAGTGTATGGAGAAACAAAGTTTTGGTTTTTTTGCTTGACAGAAGGGTTCTTGAATGAAATGCATTGCCAACATATTTACACACCACCGTAAGAAAATGATTCTCAAGTGCAAAGTCCTTGATCTGAGAGCTGCTCGTTCTGTCGTCCGTGTCTGTGCTGATTGAGACGTTTGTGTACTGGATATGTTTTCTTGATCTGTTCCCCTGTTTAGATTCTGTATGCCAAAAAGTTTCACATTTCATATGCATTGTGCTGGTAATTTTTTAGAAATATAGCAATGGCTCAATTGGAGATTTTAGGCTCCTAAGACTTCCCCTGGGGCAGCTGTAAAAAAAGAACTTATGACAATAATTCCAATGAAAATTGCTTAATGAGTAAGGCAAGTCCTTACTTCTAGCTAGCTTTAGGCTAACGTTGGCTTTGTGAATAGCAGGATAGCATAGCAGGGTACAGTCTTTCTGCCAGGAAGCCTGCAGTCTGAAGGAAGGACACAATTTTTTAGTGCCATGCAGTACAGCATCCCCCCGCCTGCCACTCTGCATTCACACAGGTACATAGCGCCCGCTCGGTGCATATGTGAAGTTTGAGCCCACCTTCTCCTTTTGTTTGCCTTTACCTTTTCAATTCTGGCTACTCTATGACCGAGAGGGGAGGACATTTTTAATGGGCGACCAGTATCCCAGTCACAAGCACCCGTTTAGGAACTGACAAAACAAAATCTCAGATCCCCTGTGGGGTTTGCAACAAAGCACCTACGCGACACTGCAAACCGTGCTGCAGCTTTTCCTTTGTGGCCAAAGGTTCTAATGCTAACTGTTACATCTGAAGCAAACGCAAAATAGTGCATCACTCGGACATCACTATCCCTACTGTCATGCATAGTTCTGCTTCTCATCAGCAGGTTGAATGGGTACATAGAGCAAAGTTCTGGCAAATCTTGGAGGAAAATCTGCTTTAGGTCTAGAATGAGGACAAAAATTCGCCTTTTAGCAGAACAGTGATTCAAAGCACAAGGTCCAAGCTAAACTCGAGTGACTTAAGAACAAGTGCTCCAGTCAAAGCCCTCACTTGAATCCTGTTAAGAATCTGTGGGAAGACACAAGCTGCTGTCCTTAAGATATGGGTTATGATATGTCCCAGGGGTTAGAGATAGCTTGAGCACATTTGCCCAGCAGAATGGACAGAAAGTGCAGCAAGCTGTTGTGCAAAGTTGACGGAGACTTGCCCAAAAAGACCCGAGTTTCTGCCAAACGTGCTTCCCGGAATATTGAGTTAATGAGTCTGAGTCAACTTTTAATTTTTTATTTAAAGTGTCTGGCTACTTTTGCAAAGCACAATAAATCGTGTAAGCTTTTTAAGATGTTTCCATTGTGTTGTGGTGAAATGAGCTTTTTCAGGAATGTTTTTAAAATGCTAATGTACCAGTGCAGTGGGTTAAATCTGGGTAAAGAGTAAGGACAGAATGCTTTATCATCTTTGTTTGCCGTTGACTTAATGTCACACACCGATTGTGTTAACCGTCACAGTGGTTTTTTGTCTCAGCATTGAAATTGTATTAAAAACTCAGCAAAAGGAAGGAAACCATATTTTTATGGCGCTGGATGGTATGCAACTTGTTACGGTGACACCACATGGTCTGTACTTTTGAAAACAATACTTCGGTGTTTAGTTCCGTTGCTGTAATTCTAAGCCTTGTCATATAAATTGTATTCCCAATGTATTTATTGTTGGGAAGGGCAGTGGTTAGCGTTGCTGCCTCGCAGTGCTGGGGCCCTGGGTCCAAATTCTGGGGTGCTATCTGTGTGGAGTTTGCATGTTTTCCACATGTTCCCATGGGTTTCCTCTGGGTATTCCAGGTTTTCCTCCACAGTCCCAAAATATACTGGTAGGTTACCAAGCTTCTAGGAAAAATTGTCCCTGGTGTGAGTGTGTGTCTGGGTTTGTGTCTGTGTGTGTTACCCAGTGATGGACTGGCGTCCTGCCTTGCGCCTGTTGCTTGCTGGGATAGGCTTCGGCATCCCCACAACCCTGAATTTGATAAAGTGGCTCGAAGATGGATAGATGTATTTATTGGAATAAAAATACTTTCTTGTTGTTCTAGAAATTTAGTAGTTTTTTTTGGGCTGATATGTGCTGCAGCAACACACTACACAATCGCATTCAGAACTAAGCAGCTTAAATTCAAAAAGGTTGAGGTTTTGATGGGAATGAAGATTAACATAAATTCTCAGCCATGGCTCTTCTTTTTGTCTGTGGCAGCTCAGGAAATAGTTTTTTAGGCGTCCCTGCCACATCTGGGCTGTGGTTTCAAAAGAGGTTTAGTTTCTAGCGCGGTTCGTCCACATTTCATGTGCAATAACACAACAGCTGCTTGTTTTGCCCTTTTGGTTTCTTTAAAAAAAAACAACAAAGCATATTTGGCTTCAGTTTGAATTTTGCAGAGTAGTTTAACAATGAATAATGGTTTAAATATGACTCTTTTCTCTGCAGGTTGGGCCCATGTTGTTTGTGCATTATACATTCCTGAAGTGGAGTTCGCAAACGTTTCCACCATGGAGCCTATTGTGTTGCAGTCTGTTCCCCACGAGCGATACAACAAGGTAAATTTCGCGACACCTTAATCCAAGAGGAGGCTTTGAACTACTACTCTTTGTACCTGTTAAAATAGTCATCAATTTTAGTGGTAGTTTATTCATCTGCTTTTGTTTTATGACTTTGTTTCTGTTGGTCTTTTATTGTAATAGCTTAAGTTTGAATTGCTGTGGTCCAGTCTGGGAGCTCCTGAGTGGCACAAGCAGAATAGTCATTCACTCAGAACCCAGGTTGAACCATCCTGTCAAGACGCTGCTAGTTCATGCCTGAGACAGACCGCTAGCTGAGTGTGACTAGAGTTCTCCAAGTGGTGGCACACAACAGTGTTGTGACCACCTTGTATCCTTTTATCAGACCTAGGAAGCCAATTAAAGTTGGTTCTGGTTTTGTACTGGGATGGGACACCTCTAAGGACAGCAGCAAACCATGTGTGAAAGGTATTGGTATGCACACAGATGATCCTCTTCTGTCTGGACCAGAATTTTCAAAAGCAAGTGTCCCGTTATTGTACTCAGGGCAATACTATACATCAGATTAGGCATTGACTGGGGTCTGTTAACGATTCCAGGGTCCATGTTCATAAGAGTGGAAATGTTAACCTCTTAGTCCTGGATAGATTCCTCTTTAAGCTTGTTATCTATGCAATACTTTTCATTTAATTTAGCTGAAGCAATTTCTACACCTGATCTTGCGTCTAGTAAAGCTGTAGGTTTGTAATGGCTGCCACTTTGCCTAGTTTTGTGCTTGTTTTGTGCTCTTGAAAATGTGAAGTATTTTTTGTAGCAAACTAATATATTTTACTAATCTATCATATGTCTTACTCATTTATAGGATCTTTTATTTATGTAGAGGATATATATATCAAGTACATATGAATGCATTAGCAGATATGTCGAAACGTTTACAAGTTAGTAAAAATATACTTTATACGAGAGACCTGAATCTCCTTATGTGTAGGGAAATGGGTTTGAGGGAAAGGATGGTGACAACAGTCATCTTCTGTTTAGGAAAGGAGACAGTTGGTCTCTCTAGTTGTGAAGAGCAGCTCTGTGTGGAGAACACTGGGGTCAGCAGATCAGCCATCATGTTAAACACATGTATTTCATCCTGGTTTGATAATAAAGGAATAAATACAGTTGTTAGTAGGAGTTAACCAATTAAGATTTAACAGTCTTGTCGGATTACCTGACCATATTGTCCGATACTGAAGCAGATATCTGATATTTAGTATTATTGCAAGTAAGGTACTTTAAATTTCTGAAATAAAATTCAAACCACAGGTAATAATGACTACTGGAGTTCTAATTGTATTGATAGAAAAACCTAAAGTTCAAAAAGAATGTATCTAACCAGCAAAGTAAAACTGTAATGTTTAATTAAAACTTTTATTAATTTAAGACTGAAACTGTTCACATGTAAACAGCATTATTAACTTCACCACAAAAAAGTCTACACAAAAACTGTGCTACATTTTATTGCAAGCTTCTTCCTAACAAATTTGCCACTAGAAAGCAGCTTTCGGCTTCAAAAAACAATACCAGCATGCCCACAAGCAGTACAGATTAAGACAGAAAGTACTATGGAAAGAAATTGAAGTGGCATGTTTTGCCGTAGTAATCATTTTCATAATATTAATAAGTGAACCAGAACAGTTCTGGCAAATGCAATGCAGGACATAAAGCTTCCGAGCATGTTGGACTGACGAGGCTCCGGACAAGACAAGACTTGGAAAACTACCGATTATCTAGAGCTCTAAATCCTATCCTCTAATTAGATGGGTGGAAATGTCCTCTGACACGAGATCTTCACAGTCATTCCTGTGCTTGTTTTTGCATTTGAAACTTCAAAAAACTTCGTTTCTTTTCTTCCCTGTCCTTTCTCTTTTTTCTTTACCCATCTTGAGGATGTTAAATTAAGCGGGATGACGACCCTTGAGGCTATGTATGAAATTTTTGTTGCGGTCTTTACCAGTTTTACTTCCATGGCCAGTTTGTCCAACACGTGGTTTGCGGCACCAATGGTCTTAAATTCCAGACTAGAGATAATTGATCCTGAGATAATTGTGATGTTTTTTCGTTGCCCTCCCATTGCTTTTTAAAAACGTCCCCAGTCTTGATTGTGGTCTTTGAAAAAAGATCCGTTGATTTAGTCATAACCACCATCTGCTAGGGCTTTTGGCTGGTACTTTGGTGCCTTCAGCTACCCAGCCATGTCATTGTGGCTGATATCCTTTCGAGAAACTGGTGAAGGAGATCCTTGGATCGATTCACTCTTGAGAAAACCCAAATGTTAGATGGGTGAAATGGCCTTCTTTCATTCGGAGTCTTCCAGAATCCGCGACTGACTCTGTATTTTCAAAAGAAAGCACAAATAACCTGAAACTTCTAGCTGTTTTCACTTCAGCTTCTTTCATGGGGGAAAGTCAGA